TTAACTAGGACAGTTAGGAGAGAGAGAAGGAGATAATAGAGGGAAATCTCTTCGAGTAACTGAACAGACGGACTCACGTGAGCCGTCGGTGATGGACGCTTACGCTAAAAAGTGAAACTTACATGCTAGGTCGTTCATGGAACATACAACGTTTAATATATCATAGATATATGGGACCAAAATCACCAGAACCAGCCGCGCAAACGTTCGCGCCTCGAGCTATCCACGATCGCCATTTACTTCAATTTCTATCTCTCTCTTTACACTTAAGAGCCTTGCAATGGGAGGCGTATTGTAGGACGAATTGATCCCTTCGCGCACCCTTTTGAAGCGTGGCAAATTCTGATCTAAGAATATTGATCAAGGCACTCATCTTTTGAAAATATCTTTCTCTTTTAACATACATAAAATATGATTTCTAGTTTATGATATCAAAAATAGCTACGTTTATATAGTATCAAAAATATTTTACATATGTATATATTTTCTTATACACTGGTATACAAAATGTTTCAAACAATGTATTTTATTGCACTCGTATAGTATCAAAAATATCTTTTCTCATGTTCCTTTAAAAATGTTCAACATACTAACTCGATAACAATTTGTAAATAGGAAATTTTACATGATAAGTCAATGCTTAGAAAAATATCAATTTGTGGTTAAAAGATTACAGTATATACGTACATGCCATATTTATAATGGAATCATTTTTTAAATAGAATATCACAATAAACATTCAACGTAACATTTTACAATATTTTAAAAGCTTGTAAAAGAGCATGCAGGAACTCGGCTTTTGAATGTTATAAATCTTTAACGCTACCATATCGCATCTCGTGTTCTCGAATTTTTCTATCAATCTCCGCCAGCTATCGAGACCAGAATTTTTGCTAGCATTATAAATTACTGTACCTCGACTATCGACGGATCTCCTTCACCGTTTGAAGACAGAAAAATGGCGGGACCGGTCGAGCAGCAGCGAATAGTTCCGCGCTGGATCGTCCGTCGATCGTGGATCCGTGGATCCACAGCTGCGGCTCGAGGCTTTGGCGACCGGCGCTGGTAAGCAATCGTGAGAACAGAGAGGAAAGAGTATATATAGTTTTTCTTCCCTTTTCTCCAACGAAATCTCCATTTATAATCGCTCCCTTCCTCGTTCGTTTTTCCTTCTAATTTCCACGCTCGAGACTCGCCGGACGTTACCTCCAGGCGAGATCTCGAACGACTCGATATCCGTGTCGCACGATTATTTTACAAATCGCGTGTCAACGTGGAACGACACGTGCATCGGCGACGCGTTAACGAAGACACAACGGTATATAATACCGATTTAATGTCGACAATCGTGCGTCGCTGTATTAACATTATGGTTAGTGTTAATAACAACGCAGTAGTATTACTGATACTTGGGATATAGTAATAATACCAGCAGCGTTATCGTACTTGAATCATTAGTAAAAAACGTTAGATGTTAGTCTCTGTGCGAAATATATTGTTCCTCGACACGTCGACACGCGATTAACATAATTTTTTTCAACGATCATTTTAAAAGTCCAAAGAATTTGGAATGTTTTCTGTGAATTCTTTGATCACGAGGAAATGTGAAGGGCGAGTTTTTAATGTCAATCGTTCACGTTGCCATGGAAAAAATCTGAAGACAGTAACGTAGAAAAGGAAGGACAGGGTGTCGGGAAGAAAAGGGGAGAGAGGGGGAAATACATAAATGGGGTTTTCGCCCAAAACGGGCGTACTAGGTGATACCCGCCCGTGCCACAGCGTTATCCTCGGATAATACCACTGGACACGACGGATCATAATTTCTCTTTTACCTTCAAGACCTCCGTACTAATTCACCACATCTTTTTTTTGTTATTTTCGTTCCTTTTCGTGAAATCAATCGCACCGATACACGCACACGTCACTCATACCGTTTCCGTTGGGGTTGACAACAGAAGTTCATCGTCTTTAAAAAAAGAAGCCAGTCTCAAGGGTAGGCGTGGTCCCTGAATCTGGAATCGAGCGTTAAACCCTTTGCCGGTTATCACGAGGGAATGTTACCCCGACGCCAGACGCGTTTGCAATAAATATTCGAGTATCGTTAAATCGCGCGGGTCGGATGATTCGTTGACCGGTACGAATGCATAAATTATCGTTTTATAGTTTTCGAGGGCGTCGAGGTTACACCGCGAGGGGTTTAACGGGACTCGGTTTAGAGGCAGTAGGGATGGCAGAACTGATAGACCAGCCTCTGGCTACGTTCCGTTTTTTTCATGATCCCCTTCTTGTAGTACTGTCTGATGCTACGGCTCAGCTTGTCGTAGTTCATGGCCGGCCGATTCTTTCGCTTGCCCCAGAGCCTGGCGACGCGTACTGAATCTTCGATCTTAAACACACCCTTGCCGCGGTCCAGCCAGCGTATGCATGACCCGTGAATCGCCGGGCTCTGTAACAGTTCCTTCAGGAACTGCCACAGGTGGATGTGCGAGCCGCCGTTACGCATTTTACCACCGTTTCCGCTACCACCGCCGCTTCCTGACTGGGACGAGCCGCAGTCCTCGTCTTCGTCTGGAAAGAAAAGAATGACGTGCCGTCGAATGATCCAGGAGAAGAACCTGGATGTACGTGCGATAACGTTTTTTATATCTCACGTTTTTAACATTAGATTGCCCAAGGAAGTCATTTTGACTGCTTTTGGGCAAATGTACAAATAATAATGCATAAATTATTTTTTTCACAGTGCAGTCATTT